GGCAGTCTTTTGCACATACTGTGAAATGTCTCTATAAAGATTAAGTTGTTGCAGTGGGTTGGCCCTGGCTGGAGGCTGGGTGCCCACCAAAACCACTCTGTCACTGCCCTCTTCAGCTGGGCAGGGGAGAGAAAATGTAAAGAAAGGCTAATCGGTAGAGACAAGGAAGGGGAGAGATCACTCACCAGTTACCGTCACGGGCAAAACCGAGACAGCTTAGGGAAAATTTAATTTATTTATCACTAATCAAATTGGAGTAAAATAAAACAAAATCTTAAAACACCTTCCTCCCACCCCTCCCATCTTCCTGGGCTCAACTTCATTCCAAATTTCTCTACCTCCTCCCCCGCAGCAGTGCAGGAGGACAGGGAATGGGGGTTGTGGTCAGCCCATCACATGTTGTCTCTGCTGCTCCTTCCTCCTCCAGGGGAGGACTCCTCACACTCTGCCTCTGTTCCAGCCGGGGGTCCCTCTCATGGAGTCAGTCCTCCACCAACTTCTCCAACATCAGTCCCTCCCCGGGGCTGCAGTTCTTCGCAAACTGCCCAGCGTGGGTCCTTCCCATGGGGCGCAGTCCCTCAGGAGCAGCCTGCTCCAGCGTGGGTTTCCCATGGGGTCACAGCCTCCTTTGGGCATCCCCCTGCTCTGGTCTGGGGCCCTCCCCGGGCTGCAGGTGGGTCTCTGCTCCTCCGTGAACCTCCATGGCTGACGGGGGCAGCGGACCTCGCTGCTCTGGGATGGGGTCCTCCCAGGGCTGCAGGTGGGTCTCTGCTCCACCATTACATCCATGGTTGCAGGGCACAGCCGACCTCACCATGGGCTGCACCACGGGCTGCCGGGGAATCTCTGCTCTGGGCCTGGAGCACCTCCTACCCTCCTTCTGCACTGACCTGGGCGTCTGCAGGGTTGTTGCTCTGGCATATTCTCGCTCCTCTCTCCATCTGCAAATTCTTCTTCCCTTCAGTTTTTCCCCTTCTCAAACACGTTACTCCAGAGGTGCTACCACTGTCACTGATGGGCTCAGCCTTGGCCAGCGGCAGGTCAGTCTCGGAGCCAGCTCGCATTGGCCCTGTAGGACGTAGGGCAGGCTTCTGGCGGCTTCTCAAAGAAGCCATACACACACCCCCCTGCTGCTAAAACCTTGCCACCATCCTAATACAAGCTATGCTCAGATAATATTACAACTTTTAATAGGTTGTATTACAATTTGGGGTTTGTTTTATTATTTATGAGGTGATTTTAGGTATAAACTGCTGCATTAAGTGTGTTTAAACTTTGCTGAGGGTGTTCTGAAAAGCTACAATAGTAGAGTAAGCTTTAAATGCTTACTGGTGCTTATGGGAATGAAAATTACTGATCCTTTCAAAGATGAATTTAAAAAGATGATTTGACCCCAGACATGGTGGAAAAACTCCTGTGTAATTTCTTTACACTTTACAGAAAGTACCTGCTGTAGTTTGAGTGTTTGGCACCTGGAATTTCAAAGTTGGCCTTCAAGATAGGTTGTGAAGGAGACCAAAAATCCTCGGAGTGAAGCAGTTAGATGCAATCCAGTAGAAATCCCACTTTGCTTGTAACAAGAGAGCAGTTAACCCATAATTGACTTAAACCTTTGAAGAGCTGTTCCCAGTGTGGCCTAGGCATCTGTGATGTGGTTTACCCTTGTTGGGGGTTTGTAAGCAAGTGGTGAAAGTACCCGAAAGCTCAGCACTTGTCAGAAGAACTACCCGATTTCTTTCCATTTTTAAGAGATGACACAATGCATTTGTTTCGCTCGCATTTGGGCAAGATAGAGTGACTGGGCAATGGCATCGGTCAGCTTCAGCCGATGCGTGCAGGGGAGTATTGGAAAGGGTATTTGAGTTGTTTCTTGGGGTTTTTTTATGTAGTTTTACATTTTCAGTGGTCATGAGCAAAAGGTGACTGACAGTTTGTGCAGATCTGATGTTTGAGTTGTTGAAGATGGGGTTTGTAGAAGGCCGTTTTATTGTCAAGACCCACTCTCTGTCTTTGATGTTAGTATTTTACTGTAATTCTCTATAGCACTGCTTAGATCCTCCCTGATTAGTGGATAAGGATACTTCACACAAAATGGTCTTCTTTGAATCACAGGCTTGATTTATTCGCGGCGTAAGCACAGGAGGGTCCTGTGAGGAAGATTATATATTGAATTTTCATAGAGTGCTTCCAGAAGGAGTTTGGGTTAAAGTCATAGACAGCTTTTGGTGAAGCATTTGCAAACAGATTCTAAGAAGTTAATTTTCCTTGGACGTGCTCTTCTAACATAATTTCCAAATAGGACTCAGAAGTCTGAAAAACAAATAAAACATACGAACCATCTCTTTCTTTCCACAGCTCCATGATAGCATTATTGCTTGGTGTGTTAGTGCCGTGGGGGAGCAGAGAATCCTTATTCCTGAAGAATTTTTGTAGAGTTCAGCTTTTAAGGGCTTTAGAGACAGCAGTGCTTCTCTGCAGGGGTGACTAGAAGTTCTCATTGCCTCAGCAAATGCAGGCAGACTTTTACTGTAGAGCAAAAAGCTAATCTTGACCAAACCCAAGGTCTCCTTCTAGATTTAAGTTCCAGCTCTAACGCATAAAATTATTATTGGAGTTTCTCAACAAAATGCTTAAGATTGTTGTTGTTGTTATGATGAGGAGATGGAGGAGGAAGAGAAGGACATAAGCAAACACATTTTTTCATTGACATTATTCACTCAGTGCTGCACCGTTTTCAGCGGAAACTAAAAATTCCTGGCAGCAAAAGGAAATGGCAAGTTCAGACCAAGCAGTCTTGCATCGTAAGCAGGGCTGAAACTCATCTCTTCTTTCATGCTTTCAGTTGCTAAAAACGTTGGGTTTGTTGTTTGGTTGTTTTTTTAAATCCCACTGTCGCACAGTAACTTCCATGACTGCTTACGGCACTGGGGAGTTTCCCACTTCTGTGTGCAGGGACCTGGCTCTGCTAGCTGCCATCGGTTGTCGCTCAGCTCTGCGAGGCCCTTGTCTGTCGTGGTAAAGGCACCTGGCACTAGCTGAGCCCGCTCTCGAAGAGCGATGCGTCCGGGTGGGAATGCTTATTAGTGAGGCGTGCTCGTTTTTCAGGTCTTCTCAATATGTATGATGTTACAGATGATACTAAAACAAAGTTGAAGTGTTGTGTTTTATGTATGGTAAGAAATAGAACTGCTTTAGGGTAGTGAAAGAGGACTTCCAGCTGCAATGCCTGGGCTAACTGTGGAAGGGAAGGTGGTCCTTGCCAAGAGGAGAGTGTGTGCTGTGGAGCAGGCTAGCTGTTGCCTTACGGATACAGTTAGTAAAGGCGCTGCGTTGTTTTTCAAACAAGTGTCCAAAAAGAAACAACCACGAGGACAAGCTGGCGATCTAAATCCTCAAGGCCTGTCCGCTCTTTGTTGGTTTGGCTTAGTCCATAGCCTTGAGGCAGATTGTGGAAGTAAAATACACTTGATTTGTCAGAAAACTCTCTTTGGGCCCTCTGGGTGTTTTGATTTACTTCCACAACAAAGGAAATCCAGAGAGAGTGTTCTCATACGTTGTCCTCGGAGAGTGCCTCACTATTGGAAGACCCTGCTTGATCACACGAGAAGAAATGAAGAATGGGGAGAGCGGGAGATTGTAATGATTTCCAAGCGTCTGCAGGAAATACTCAATTGCACTGTTACCTCAAGTACGAATAGGCAATTCTTAGGAAGTCTAGGTTGAGTGTGGGGGTTCCTTACGGTTTTAACTGTTACGTTTATATTGGTTAGATCTTTGACCTTCAGCGGTACCTCTATTGTAAGTTTTGGAACTTAAATATTGTGGTGTGGTGATGGTGTGGTCAGTAGTGTACAGTGGTCAAAAAAACCAAGAAATCCATGCTCCAGGGAATTTGTGCTCTAAAAATAGAGATGATCCAGTTCACATACATAATGGATGATCAGAAGATGAATTTGCTGCTAAGGAATGTATTTAGAATACTGATGCCTTTTAATAGCGTTTTTCATCTAGTGTTTAAAAAATAGCGGGCTCAATGTGAAGCACTCCTGTATTCTGTCAGTAGCTTAAAAGGTAGTTTGTAAAGCACTTAGATCAGGTTTGAGCAGTATCTTTTCTGATAATTAAACCAGTCATTGCACTTCTCATTTATTGGCTTATTTTTTCCTTCTGGAGTTCTTTAGAATTGTGCCATGTTGATATTTCTCATAATCCTGGCTGTGTACCTGCAACACAGAAAACAAAAATGCCTTTCAAGTGGCATAAGTAATTTTATGTTTTATTTTTAGTGCGTACACATACTGCTTGGAAAAATTGGATGCTGGCAGCCTTAACGCTTTCAGTCTTGTCATTCACATTTTAATACCGGCCTGTTAGGTACCTGAGGAGTTTTACACAGTCTGAGCTGAACCAAAGCAGATAACAAACACATCAGTAGCAAATAAGAGAGCCTTGAGTCTGTGGTTTTGATTTCCCTCGGTCAGCTTGCTCTCCTGGCAGCCCACGTGAGGAGCGGTTGTAGGACATCGTGAAGGAACACCGGTGTTCCAGGTCACAGGCAGCCTATTGCAATACCTGTTTTTAGCACAGAGCCTTTTTAAATAATGTTTACTTGATGATTTTCAGGAACAGCTGAGAATTTTTGCAGTAGGCATAACCGGTCTGGTGCTGTCAAATTGAAAAGGGTACATGAAGATATTTGGCTCCGAGTTACTTTATTACTCTTCTGGCTATAAAACTGAATTAGTGAGAAGAGAGTTCAACCTGCCACGGCTTATTGCAGGGATATTTTCCGTTTCATTTTATTGCCCTTTGAGGATTTGATTTCTCGTTATGATAATAGAGTTAATTAGTTGTGATGTCTCCCTAACACCAAGCCACCGTCACCGTTTTTGCTTTTATGAATGTTAAACTGGTGCAGTGTAACGGGGGGGGGGAACCCACAAAGGATGCATATGCCCTTTATTTAAATTGTATGTGCCTGTATTTGATGGACACTGTCGATGACTGATAATCACGGTTGCATGCTCGTAAAAAACATAACCCTCTTGGGCCAGGAGTTGAATGTTGTGGCTGGAGGTTTGTCACTGATGGGTTCACTTTGTTTCATGGTGGCAAGTTTCATCATACAGATTTGCTAAAGGATGCTGAGGCTGGATCGTGTCACTGTGCCTGCGTCGCTGGGGCTCAGGTAGAGAGCAGCACAGGTCTGGTGGTTCAGCCAAGGCAGCTGTTCGTCTTTGGTCCTGGAGATCCTGACCTGTAAAATTTCAAGTGGTTTTAATAAATGAACAAATGCCTATGTATCAGTTTTGCCATGGCAACTGTTCGTAGCCCATGAGGAATATGACAGTTCAAAGTAGCTGAACTGAGTGAAAGAAAAGGGTATACTGCCTTGTATTTAAGCTGGGTAAAGCCTACAGGCTGGCAAGTAAAATAAGCTGCTTGAAAGTGATACGGTGAGGAGTCTTAAATCAGTTGTAGGCGTCCTTTCCCCTCTCCCTGGTCTGTAACAGCCGCCTTCTTTCTGTTTAGCCTTCGGGCAGCAGTGTGTTTTTGAGTTAGTGCAAACTTCCTGTCCTACTGCACCTGATACACTGGGAGTTAATAATCTAGGTAATTTCAGACTGACTTGTGTGTTGGTACTCTAAAAAAAAAAAATAAAAATCAAGGTATATGCATTATTTCAGTGTAGATTAAGAAAAATACCTACCGCCTCCTTTAGCACAATGCTCTTGCTCAAGCCACTCTTCCCTTGTGTTTCTTGCAGGTGTTCCGCAAGGATCTCATTAGTGCCATGAAACTACCAGATTCTCACCATGTCAACCCTGATGAATATTATATCTTTGCGGACACATGGAAACAAGAATGGGAGAAAGGGGTTCAAGTTCCAGCCAGTCCAGAAACTATTCCACAGCCTTCTCTCAGGTAATGGCCATCAGACAACATACACAAAACACCCAGTTAAAGAGGAGATGGTCTTTCAAAAATAGGGTGTCTAAAAGCAGTCAGCTTTTCTGTGTTATTATATCTAAACCTCCAGCGCAGCAGCCTTCAGACATGTTCTTAAACCGAGCAAGTACTAGTTTGGAAAACATTTCTGTGGCACTTCAGTCCAGATCTGGTTCTGTCTGTACACAGTTTCTACGTTGTGAGTTTAAAAAGGGGAACTTTTCTCCTGAGTCACAGTATGGAGCAAAAATTGTTTTCTTATGTGAGTATGGCAAGTTTAATAAATTAAAAATAAACCCAGATCTTACACATGTTACTTGAAAGGCTTCCTCATAAAGCATGGCAGTATAGAGCAGTAGGCGTGCAGTAGTTACTGATGCCCAATAAAGTTACTCATTTATTCATAGAATTTAATTTTGGTTATTGTTACCAAAGCTTTAACCCCTTCTGCCTTCTCTCACCACAGATAGCTGTTTAACATTATAGAATTTTAGTGATCTTAGTTTCAGGAGATAGACAAACAACCTTTTGTTCTCTCACACTGTGCTTAGACTAGGAAAACATAACACTGTAGTCCTGCAGCCCTTCCTGGTGGAAACAGTGTGTTTCAACATAGAAATGTTATTGCTAGCGTGGTGTTCGAGACGAAGATAAATGAATTGTCCGGTCAGAAGCGCTGATGCCAGCATAATTTAATTTCCACTGGGGCTGTTGTCAGTACCAAGTTATTAAAAATAAATATATTGCATCTCATACTAGCAGTATTACATTAGAGGAAAAAATTGCTATAGATTTGGCTGGACGAGAGAAAAGAGAAGCTCACAAGGGAACGAGAGGAAAAAATGAGCAAGGTGAAGGGGGAGGAAGAATGGCAGAACATTGTTTGTGCTAACATTGACAACCCACTTTGTCCACTAAGAATTATGTGGGATGCTGCTTGACTTCTGCCTGTTCCTTCTTTACTCCTCTTGTCCTATTTCCCACAGCTTTTCTTTTCTCCTTGTCCCGTGGAGGGTTAGCTCCAGAAAGCATGCAGAGCTGCTCACGCATGGCACCATTCCATTCAGTATCTCCCTGGCTTCCTTTCACATGCAGGGCCTCTTGCATTGAATTAGGAGAAGGATTGACTTTATCTAGCTAAGGTCAGCCTTTCCATTCCCATCAGCTAGTTTACCAGTCAGACGCCGAGTTTTATCTTTTAAAATAATTGTGAGATTTTAAACACCAATATTTTTCTCCTTGCTTCTTGGATGATTTTTAGCTGTTTTCTCCCCTTTACATTTATGCTTGGCATCAGAATGGTTCTTACATAACCAAAATAATACATTTGCAACGTGGATAAAATGTCATTTACAAAATAAGGGTAGATTGTTTATCCCAAACGAGGAGCAAGCATTTCTTCCACATACACACCGCAGTAGAATAAATTAAGCTTTCGTGAAAAAGCTGGTATCTTCAAGAAATCAGTTGGCAAGATTTCCCTCTGTCATTTAAGAAGAATATAGAACAAAGATTGTAGGGGGTTTTGCATAATACTTTCTGTGGGTTTCAAAAACACTTGCATCATCGCACTGGTAGCATTTGTTAAATTGGAAATCATATGCACAGGCTTACATTTTAAAAAGGATTCTGTATACGTAGCAGACCATAGCACATTCTGTGTGAAGAAATTACATTTACAGAATTCTGTCTCCCTAGCCTGGCTACGCTTACCGGCTAGTTTAAAATGTGTGAAACGCTAGGTTTCTTCACACTTGCAGCAAATATTTCATGTCTTTCAAGGATGAGTCTTAAAAAGCTGTAACTCTCTCTCTCTTACTTGTTGGGGTTTTTTTTATTTCACTCCAGGGTTGTAGCAGAAAAGGTGAAAGAAGTGCTGTATACTCGACCCAGGAAATACATCCACTGTTCCAGCCAAGAGCCCACAGAACCAGGTTACATCAACATTTTGGAACTGGCAGAATCTGTGTGTCGCTATGACTTGGATGACATGGACATCTTCTGGCTTCAGGAGCTAAATGAAGAGCTTACAGAAATGGGTAATTTCACAACACATTCTAGTTTTAAAAGCAGCAGTTAATTTCTGCTGTTTGAGTTGTAGTCTGCCATGTGAGATCTCTTAAAAATCACTGAATGAGCATTGAATGGAAATGCTAAGAAAAACAGGAGGTAAAAATGCTTAAAATGATTACTTGCTCGATCTGTTCATGTTTTACCTGTTGTGCCTAAAAACTTTTCACAGCCAAAATCACGTGCAACTTCTGCAGACTGAGGCAAGAGAGAAAAAGCCCACACCAGGTGGATTTAATTTTAGGACTTCAAAAGTTAAAAATTCTGTGTAGGAAAAAGCATTTAATTGCTACAAATTCAGAGTTCTGAGGAGCTTGCATGCTGGGTTCCTAAGTGAGTAATGAAGTTTCACACATGTTAGCCCATTTAAAATCAGCTGAGTAAACTTTCTTTTTTCTATACAAGTTGTGGGTATTGAGTGCTATGAGGGGGGTGAGCTAGGGGGAATAATCGTGGAATTACCATTGGAATAACAGTTGTGTGGAATATCCTGTGTGGCCACCATTCCTCCATGGAGGATTGCAGGTCCTTTAGGAGGGACAGGTGGGCAAAAGAGGTAGATATTTGGCATCTCCTGGATTTGCTGTTCACAAACCAGGAAGAACCTCTGGGGAAGCGGTAATTGGTGGTGGCATTGGCTGTAGTAGCTACGAAATAGAGGTGACTGGAATCCTGAGGGGAGTGAGGAAAGGAAGTGGCGTCTTCTTCAGTCTCCTTCAAGCACAAGAAAGAACCACCCAGACATTCAGGATGTGTCAGGAGACTGGCTTGGTGGAGGAGGGAACTCATGACTGGGCTCCAGTGCCAAGGGATGTATGCAGGACGTAGAAGCAAGGACGAGCTTCTCAGGCATACAGGGATGCTGTTAGCAAAATCAGAGCTGGTCTGGGTGTAGATCTCCATCCATGGGCATTTTCAAGACCTGACTAGATGTAATCTTTGATCTGGATTCACTGTTGACTCTGCTTGGAGCCAGGGTTTAGGCTGGAGCCCTCTGAAGGCCCCTTCCCACCAGAATGATTCTGTAATTCTTTTAATTCAGAGAATGAGACAATATCCAGGCATCAGAGAGAACAGGTTAATAGCAGAAGGTGCTTTCTGTCGGCAGTCCTTTTCATCTTCTCCGTCTCCTTATTTATCGTCTGCAAGAAGGAATCCACATTAGTAGCTGTGTTCTCCGGCATGGCCCAACAGTTAAAATGTTAGCTTCTGATACGAATGTTACGTCAATATCCCACCCTTGAAGGTCTGAGTACACCGTTCACTGTTGGCAGCAGCATTTTTGACTGAGAATTTTGAGGAGATGCCATGTGGAGATTTCTTGTAGCTGCGAACGTGGTAGGGTTTCTTACACACCCTATGTCCTGAAGCTGCAAGCCGAGGGCGTCTCCTCGTAAATCCTTTTTAAGTGGTTCTGCTTTACGCTCAGTTTGATTACTGGTAGTGTACACAGTGTGTGTAGTGCTCAAGTGAGCAGCGGTATGGATTGCCAACAGTGTATTTATCTACTGTTTTATTTAAAACCCCAACAAAACAATAGAAGCACTTTTCGTATCTGTGCTGATCACTCAAGTAATGTACTGGGTGGTGGCAACCGCTGTATCTCTGTAAGATCGGAAGTGTTCTGACAAGTGTTTTTTTCCTAAGACGTTAGTCTTCAGAAGAATATTGTGTGTAATTTTGAAAGAATGTTGTGTGTGGTTTTGGCTGTCATTAGTGTTTCCTAAAGGGATGGAGGTGGAGGGAGGATTGTATGGGAGCAGCTAGCAGTTACTGAAACAGCTGTGTGTAATTTTTATGCTGCAGTGTTTTCTTCAAGGTGCAGTCTCGTGTTTTATGCACCACTTAAACTTGTACTCCAGTAGTAGTTCTACTCGTGTTTGTAAGATAATGTTACAGTTAGCCAGTGAGTGAAAAAGGGTATATTTTTAAGTTATTTTTATTATTAGTATGTATGATGGGAGGGAAGGCTCTGTGTCCACTCCTTTGGTTGCTACAAGTTGTCCTTCTCTCTTCTGCCATCTTGGACTCAGTCAGAGGCATCTGACTGTCCTCTAATTCCTCTTCCCTATTCTTTGTTGCAGGATGCGGCCCCCTGGATGAAAACACAATGGAAAAGACAATTGAAGTGCTGGAACGGCACTGTCATGAGAACATGAATCACGCTATTGAGACTGAAGAAGGATTGGGTATCGAATACGATGAAGACGTCATCTGCGATGTGTGCCGGTCCCCTGACAGTGAAGATGGGAATGACATGGTGTTTTGTGACAAGTGTAATATCTGCGTCCATCAGGTGAGTGCCTGCAGAAATGCTGGCGCTGTCCTGTGGCCGTAGTTTACCTTGGCAAGTGTGGGATTTGGGCTAGTACCAAGTGTTAACCGGAGGGCCTTGTGATTTTCTAGGTATGACGGGTGGTACGATGCGAGGTTAAGTTTCCATAATCTGACAGTTACAGTACAAGAAATAGGAACATGCAGTGTGTTCTTGCAAGTGCTTCCTCTGTAACTGTAAACAGTTTTTCCCCTATTATTAAACCTGCTTTTGAAGATAAACAGGGCAGGAAATGCTGGCATGCCCTACGTGTGAAGAATCTAAAGATCATGTGTTTCAGAACTGGGGGTTTTCCTCCTTAACTGACTAGCTAATTGGCCAGATGTGGGCTGTCCAGATTTAGCCGTCTGAAACCACATGTAGGCGCTTTAACAGGCTGATCTTTTTTAGGAGGCGTGAACACCTGCAATAGCTGTGCCCTCAGTCTGAACGTCGCTCATGTTTGTAGCATTTCAGGTGTAGCCAAGACTTCACACTGACTGAGCTCAGCATAGTCAAGCAGAGGTATCCTTATAATCCAAACTGGGATGTGAATCTTGTGGTTTCTGTGTGTCCAGTTCTGGAAGGGTTTTTATTATCAGTTGAAAAGAGACTAAGAAGTTTTTTTAAAAATGTATTTTTGTACTGGCTACAAGTAATGCTCAGAAAACGTATCTGGCTGAAAGAGGACCTGTCATCTCCCTTCTGGCAGTGGGCTGGCTTCCAGCCTGGCCACTTCCCTGAGCCTGGAGTGCCAGTAACGCAGCCAGTGACAGGAATACGGCCAGCAGCTGGGCCGCCTGTTTCGGCCCCTCCTCCTGCCTGTTCAAAAGTCATGATGAATTTGCAGTCAGAGGCTCGTGATTGCCTGCTGACAGCTAGGCTTGAGCTGATGGCCGCCTTCCTCTTCACCCTTCCCCGTGCTGGACCTGCCCGGAACAAGCTGGGCAGCATGTCTGGGCTAGAGCTAATCCTAAGGACAACAACAAAAGATCATTCTCTTTTTAATCTGGATTGGCCCTGGTTCACCACGTAGCCTCAGGTCTGTTTGTCATCACAGTTTGGAATGGAGGGTGGGGGAAGAGGCGTGTGAGAGATTTTTCTCCTTCACGGTGCCCTCTCATGCCAGCTCAAACACATTGTAAAATTACTGGTTTACCTAGTAATCTAGGCCTCCTCCACTCATTAGTTGGATTAAATTGGCGTATAGTTTCAGTCTGTTTCCAACCACCTAAATGTGATCTTAGGTGTAACAGCTCTTCTGCACTAGTAATAGAAAGAATGCTGGTGGCAATGTGCCACATGGGGGGGAGGGGGGGGGGCGGGATCAACAACTTGTAAAATTTAGATTACAGCTCCCCCTGTTGAGTTTTTACAGCAGTAGTCACATCAAAATAGCGTTCAGGTCAGTATGTGTTGGTATTTCCATGATGCAGGATTTAACTCGGGAAAGCCCCCGTCTCCCTAGACCTGACATACGTTTGCAGTGGTTTATGACATCACTTCATATCAAACACTGAGATCGCAGTCGGGAGGCCGGGAAGGCAGTTGTGGGGATTTTATACTAGATTTGAATCTGAAAGACTGGTCACAGCTAATGGTCTTGTTCTGTTGAGGCTTTCAGTGTTCCCGTTCCCAGAGACGGTGTTAGGAACGGTGGGATTTCCTCTGAAAGCCACCCTTCTGATAAAGCTTTGATTTGGAGCAGCTGAGTGGAGCTAGACCTCAGTGGCAGGCGGTGGTTTGGGATACACTCGGCTTGAGTATGTGTGTGGGTATGGACAGTGGGATGTATCTAGATACACGGGTGGTTAGCCAGTAGGAACTGCTAGGAGTTGGAATCAGAAAGCAGACAATTCCGTTTCTTTTCTTTTTCCTTTTTGTTTTTAATTCTCAAACCTAGCTAAATTTAAGAAATTTCTCATTTTCTGAGGGGTTAAGTGCAGTACTCGGGCATAAAACCCAGCCCTTCATAATTTCAGTATATGCCGTCATTTTTGTTGCGCTATCATGTAAATATTTAAAGTAACAATTCACAGAACTGTAACCACAAAGGCAGTTTAATGTTGCAGGAAACGGTCTTCAGCCTAAACAATCCACATCCCTTCACATCTAAATAGCATTATGTCAGAGTGTAATGTTATTAGTGGTAGGAAATTGTGACTTTTGAAAAGGATTAGATGCAGAAGCTAATTTAAGGAAATGCGTTTTGCTTCAGAAATTTAAAGTCACTAAAAGCAAAGCTGAAGGCTCTTAACACCAGTTAAGAACCATACTCTGTGGTGGTGTGCAGTCACAATGGGTGTGTTTTACACTATGAACAAGTAGTACCAGCACACATTTTAAGAAGAAACTGGCATAAAAATACTTTGCTTTAGAGACTGTTCTGCTCTTCAGTGGCTTGACGCTGTTTTAAGGTAAAGAAATTCGTGAAGGACTAAATAAAGGCCCAACTGTGCCTTTAGTGTTTGAAAGCTTTGGTCCATGTGAATATTAATGCTTGTGTGTGAAATCGTGTCAGCGCAATGTTCTCAATACCCGTTTCCCTCCAAGGCATGCTATGGAATCTTAAAAGTACCCGAAGGGAGCTGGCTGTGTCGCACCTGTGTCCTGGGAATACATCCTCAGTGCCTCCTGTGTCCCAAAAGAGGAGGCGCCATGAAAGCTACCAGGACAGGGACCAAGTGGGCACATGTGAGCTGCGCTCTCTGGATTCCAGAGGTGAAAAATTTCTGCCTCTTTCTTTTGTATTGTTGATTCTTCTCTGTCCTCCTCCTCCTCCTCCTTGTTCCCTCTCCTGCCGTTTTATGTTCTCATGATTTAAGGGATCTGTCTGGCTTAATACCAGACTTCATTCTGATGAGTCTGCACAGTCTGTGACGACTGGGAAAGCGTCCAGCTTATGTTCCATTAACTAATCACTTTGTCCCCTCCATTTACTCAACAATTGCTTCTTGGTGTCGTTGTGTTATCTGAGTGACCTGCTAGAAGGGGTTACTGGTGTAAGCTAGTGTTCACCGTACAGCTGCATCTTCGTTGTTCCTCTTCACTTTCTGATCGTTTATGTGCTCAGTTAAGTGTATAATTTGCATGCATACATCCACGTTTTTAAAAAAAACAAACAACTCCCCTCGTTGCATTATTTGTGAAGGGTGGATTCTAAAATTTGTAGTGAAGGGGTTTTTTGAACTAAATTTTTTCCGAACAGTGGGGAGAGAAGCTTTTTATCTTCTGTGTTAAATAAAAGCTTTTTTGGTATATCTGTGCATACATATACGGAAAGTGTAATAATGAAGCTTTACACTTCTTCCTCTATTTTGAATCGAATTTAGCATCACATTATAGTTCTGTACATTGAAATATTCACTTCTGTATAGGTAAGGGTAGTGTTTAATGTTGTACTTGGAATATTTCTGGTTTCTTTCTGGTATGATCCACAGATCCATTACAGTGGGCAGTTTACTGCGAGGCAGTAGCCAGATTTGTCAGCACTATGACATCAGGGGGATGGAGGCCTTATTTTCTGAACCTTCTGCTCCCAAGCTCAGGCAGGTCTCACTTGAGGCAAAACTTTGAGGCAAAACTTTGAGGAAGATTTTAAGATTCTGGGTATTTTTTTGAACCTAGCAGCCACATGCAATGTGCCATTCCTAGCTCCGTCTCAGACATATATCTGTTTTTCAAGGAGGTTATCTTTGCAGTTGCACTTTTCTTTCAGGCCTGCTTGTAGTTCCTGGCATCTCTTCCACCCTTAAGGAGAGAGGACTTGAGAAAAAGACTCAAAATATTTATTTTAAAATTAATTTAAAAAAAAAAATGCCTGGACTCTTCCTCCTGTACTTACAAGGTGTCTTGGCTGGAAGCATTCCTGGCTCTGAGCAGAATGGTTTTCCTAAGAGATCCTCTCTGACTGTGGTTGCCTTGATGCTCTCCTCAGGAGAAGAGGAACTGGCAGGTTTGGGAAGCAGGTGGTGGCAGGGAGCACATGCTGCCTTCCTGCCCACCTCACTCCAGCTGAGGGAGAGAAGCTGCTGGGGGAGCACCCAGCTGGGAGAGCTCAAATCCATCTGCTCCCACAGACCATTCGGTGGCTCCAGTCCTCGGGCACATCCTCCCCTCCACACCAGTGCCAAGCGTGTCAGGCATAGCCGGGAGATGGCACTTGCCTGTAGAGGTGGGAAGTGCCTCTTGGATCCATTATCTCCATCACTTGTAAAACAATTCAGTTACCAGAGAAGATGGGAGCTTTTGGGAATCTTTGCTGAAATGGCAGGTCAGTTCCTGTCTGGAGAGTCACTGTGGCCTCACATGCAGCAGGGGACAAGAAAGACCCAGAGTCTGAAGACCAGGGGGCGCATACTTTAGGGGAGAACGTGCACTGTCATACCTGTTTCTCTTCTTCCTGAGATGATAGTGCACTGGAACTTCCCCAGAAGAAACAGATGGATTATAAAGTCACTGCCGTTTCTTCTTGTAACCGTAATAAAATGGAGCAAGGCAGAATCCAGAGAGGAAAGGGCCATAAACTTGCCTGTGCCTTGTGATAAAAGGTTCAAAGGGGGACTTCATGAGTCACCAAGTATAGGCCAGCATTGTTGCAGGCAGCTGCACCAGGTATTTCCCTTCATTAACTCATTCAGCACCGTTGTAAAACTTCTTTTTCTTCCCTCCCTTCCTTGTGAGCTAATGCTGTCAAAAGGGTTTCTTGACCTTCACTTGAGTGATTGGGATGTTTGGACGTTTTTACCTTCCAAAGTGTTCTCGTAGTTGGTTTATATCCTTTTATTATTCTGCCTTTATTGGTTTTTGGTGTAAGTGTATACTCTACTTCATATTTTCTTAAAAGGCATTCTTTACAAAAAAACAAAAAGGGAAACACTGAGACCAGAAAACTTATACTGAGTATTTTGAAATTCAAGGTCCTTCTCTGCCTTTGGTAACCCATTACCTCAATCAGCGTGGAGTTAGCTGAAGCTGAAAGTTATTTTTCCTTGCTACAACTGGAAGGGTATCAAATTGGCTGTCCTTAGCTGCTGTTGTGAGTGGCTTTTTTGCTCACGCCCCC